AATATACACTATACTCATCTACATACATAATATAATATTATAATAAATTATTAAAACCGAAAATAATCTACATTATCTATTTTATGTACCATTATGTGTTACAACTAATTTGATTAATTTAGTTTTATAATTTATTGTTATCTATGACGATTACGGAATTATATTGTATACAATATAAATTTCAATACAAATATTATTTATAATGTTAGGCTAGTTATACAAAAAATAAATATATTAAAATTAAATGTTATTCATATAAATTCTTTACTCATGAGAAAAAATAAAGAAAATATGAGAAGGATATTTAGTGGAGAGTGTGTTATTTTAGTAAAAACCAGATTGCAAAATTTGTAACAATTTTCAAAAGGGATGCACCGTGAAAAGTTTGGGAACCTCTGGTAATACAGTTATATATTTAGTCTTAGTAAACGATTTTTTTTTTTTAAATCTTATTTTCCTAATCAACTTACAGAATATATTTCAATTTATTTTTAGATTGGCAAGATGTGTATTTTTGTACTAATAAATGTGGCCGAAAATATAAATCAAAAACCGCTTTGTATACTCATTTGAAGTTTGAATGTGGTGTCGCACCCAAATTTCGTTGTCATCATTGTTTAAGGAGTTTCAAACGAAAATGGACTTGTCGATCGCATATACTAAATGTGCATAAATCATTAGTGCCCAGATTATAAAGTGGTTTGCATTGCATAGTGACGAGACCTACCTAGTTGTCAGAAAAACGATAATTGTAGCCACTGCGGATTGTAGCAATACTAATTTCGATAAAAGAAAAAATCCGGCTCATCCAAACATTTGGTTGTTGAAAAAATACACCAGGTGGTAATAAAGGAGGGAGAATGGGAAAAATACGTCGGCAGGTCACATTTTGAAATAAAAAAGTCAACAATTCACAAGAGTCAACCAAAATTATGATATTACGATATTTCGAAAGAAAATAGTTGACAATAGACAAATATTGTATCTAGTTCTTTATCAATTTTCTGGCAACTAGCAATATCGGTAGTAGATCTATTAATGATAAGAAAAAAAGATAATTATAGTTAAGTTAAAATTTTAGTTTGTTTATTTTTCTTCTTAAATTCTAATTAATTATATCTTATATGTCTTATAATATTATTCGTTCCAATAAAAATTTTCAGTTAAGAAATTTAATACGGTTAGATAATGTAATTCTATATATGTTGAGTGAGGAACAAAAATATAAATATTAGCAATTATTCATCATTGCCTATATTTAATAATATATTTAATGAAAGTTATACAATTTTTTTATTGACATGTGTACTTCAATAATTTTGTTTTTTTTAATAGATAGTACTTAAATCTATTATTGATTTTGTGTTTCAAGATAAGTAGATATAGTCAAATATGCTAGATTTATTTAAATATAACTTTAAAAATATACATATTATACTTTTAAGTCAATAAAGTTAATTTGTATTTTTGATGTTTAAAAATAAATAAATATTTTTAAATGAAATAGACTTTATACGCCTAGTGTATACATTATTTGAATTGTCAATACCTATCTAGCTATCACTGCATGCTCTTGATAAAAAATCTATTTATAATATTATATTATGAATCTACCTGATACCTATACTATACGGTAATGTAAAAAATATCTCTTGTAAGTCATATGTTATTAATTATTATATTATGCTCATTTTTGTATATCAAATTTAGTGTAACCTTTTTTTTTTGATCAATTATGTCTTATACATTTTTCATTCGTAATAATTATTAACTCACGGAATAATATGTAAATTCATTTTTAGATTCACAAGATGATGTTTTTCTCTGTACGAACAAATGTGGCCGAAAATATAAGTCGAAAACAGCATTGTACACTCATCTTAAATATGAATGTGGCGTTATCCCACAATTTCGGTGTCATATTTGCCACAAAAGTTATAAACACAAGTGTACATTTAAAGTTCACATGATCCGCGATCACGGAGTTGTAATGTAGTAATAAATACTTTTAATTCTCTGATGCGATGTAATACAAATTAAAAATCTCATTTTTTTTAATACTATTTTTAACTCAATAGAAAAAAAAAATAAAACAATCTATATATCTTAGTTGGGCCTATTATTTAGGGTTATTATTATTTTTTTTAAATCAAATAAGTTATGTATAGTTATAGTTATATTGTGCAATTAGAGGCCGTCATAAATATAAATAAAATGTTGCTGTTCAAATATTTTTCATAATGAACCATTAAAGTAGTTGTAAATGTGACTTTTGTTAATGCAGATGAATTTACACATTTACTTATATTAAATGTTATTCAACTAGGTAGTGCCGCACTATTGATGGTACTGTATCGCCGTACTTTAAAACTTTGCTTTAAATCCTCTATGTTTTTAAGTAGACAAAAGTTTTACTATCGATTGTTACTTATATAAATCTATACCATGCTTATAATAAGGTTTCGGTATCGCGCTTTGCATATTTCCGGAGAAATTTTTAGTTTCGCATATTATTTATCCTAACTCCATTCTCCATACTCCCGCAGTTGGCCACTTAAACGTTATAATTGTTGTACAAAAATCAAACTATATAATATATGAAATTCGATAAACCAAGTTGCGTGAATTATTTAAGCAATAATTATTCGTTTCTGTATCTAAGCTATGTGGTGTGTACGAATAGCTAATATTATGTACATATTATTATATGGCGTGTGAGAAATTAACCCCAAAATCCTCTGATTGTTACGCAATAGTTCAATATTAATGTTTGTTGGTACCTATATTGTGTATAGCTAATATAATTTACAATACTATTCTAGTTGGTATTTACAATATTATTATTTTACACTTGACGGACTTTTGCTCTATATAACTTCACCTTAATATACCTATATATTACGCGTACCTATACCAAAATCATGAATACACTATAATAAATAAATTCATAACTGTACTTATACAGAAAATCCTATTAAATATTTTATTTTTCAATTAGATTCTTATCGGCAAATTAAAAACAACGAACAGGACGGTTTATTCTACTGTCTCAAAATGTGTGGTCGTAAATACAAATCGAGACAAGCCATGAAACTCCACATGAAGTACGAATGCGGAATCGCACCTCAATTTAAATGTAATATTTGCGGTAAACAATTTAAGCAACCAGTTCATTATAGAAGTCATTTGCTCGCTATTCATAAGATACTAGCTTCGTAATTTTTTGATAAAACGTCAATCAATAGTGTTGAACTATAAAATAATTAAGTTATATTTAAGTATTTCAAAACGTTTTAAATAATAATAAAAAATATATATATTTGTATATATTGTATTAAATTATGTGTATTAACGCACAGGGCTGGAAGTAAGTCACTTTTTTACTTATTTATATTGAAACTCAAGTCACTTAAGTCACTTAATATCCACATTTGCCTAAATGTAAATTATTTGATGTTATTTGTTAGTCCCTACATATTATTAAATATGTGTGCTTGTAATTTTTTTAACGTATAAAATAAAAAAATCGCCATTATTTCAATGATAACTTTTATATATTATTGAGATAGATGAGAATATTTACTGGCGCGTGCATTGATTATGTTTATAATGATACAAAAAATTGGAAATTGACAGTTATAAAATGCACTAAACTGTTTACTAGAAAATATAGTAAAAAGGTTATAATAACCAACTTGTGAAAACGTTATCAGTAAACAGTATTCTCACGGTTACAGCGTCAAAAAAACGTCTATTTATAATATTTGTCCACGAGTTTGTATCGTTCCGATTTATTTTTGTTATCATAAAGCTATAACGTTAAAAAATATGTTGTGAGGACATGTGGTTTTAGTCAGTTGTTTAGACGTGTCCACACTATGCCGAATGGTGTTGATTGACAATGTCGAACAAATCTATACATGTCGCTTAGCTTTGTTAAAACATGTCAGGCTAAGTCAAATGCAACCAGAATCAATTCGGTACGGATGAATCGATAACAGTTAGTGTAAACGTGCCGAAGCATGTTGCTCGACTTTTTAGCTACAGCTGATGTTATCACATAACTTTACCTACTACAAAAAATGATAAAAACTATGAAACATTTATTCTGTTCAGTTTTATTTTGCTGCGTGAATTTACTTGGTTTTTAGTTTTAATAATTTTAGTCATACATCATGACTAATGGCTAATGACTAATGGTGAATTGGAGTGACGAACGATTTCTTTTATTATAATATATTGGGATCGAAGGTTACTGTAAGACTTAACTGATTTATAATACAAAAATAGAAATAAAAGGCATGATGGGCTAACGGAAATTGTGGTTTCTTTTGATATTGAACAACTTGAGGTAGAAAAAAAGACAAACAATTTGGTGGTTGTTTTTAATACCAGTAAGTTGTTAGGAAACACACTTGTATACGTTACTTTTTGGTTACTTTTACGATTAAATTTGGTTACTAAATCATTTTTTTGAGTAGCCTTAACCACTTCCAGCTCTGAATGTATTATTATGTGTATTACACCATAATCATGCATATTATAGTTATATCGTACACAAAATATAATCTGAAGAAAAATATCTATGTATAAAATGTTTTATTTTATTTATTTATCTATTTTTGTTTATACGATCAAGTCAACGATAATTTCATACGAGTTTAATATTTTTGTAAATTTTCACTAAATTGTTTTATTTTTCTATAAATCATGTAATTTGTATTCGATTTTTTCTTCGAATTTATAAAACTATAATATTATTATGAACTTAATTTGTATACCATACAATTATAATAAGTTTATCTTTTGAAATATTTTTATATAATGTAGTGTGTAGTTGTTTTTTTATAAGCGTTTTAAATGCAGAATTTAATGGAAATCACAAAAATCTTTTTTTCTTTGCTAAGACTTATTACCTAACAGTGTGGCTTTTATAGTGATTTAATTTATTGACTTTATATGATACCAAGGCAATTAAATGTAGAAATAAATCAATTTCTATATGAATGTCATAGTTAATGCTCGACAAATAGAAATAGGTACGAAATACAAAAAAAAAAAAAAATTAGTGTATGGATTCGATCTAATGCCTTTACCAGAATAGCTCAGGGATTCTCCTATCGTTTCACGCATTAGACCGTTCGCCTATCCTGATGCACAAAAACCCGTTGGTTTTAACAGCAACTAAATGGATGATTCTGTTAGAAAAAACAAGAAAAATGATGGTACCATGAGTGGTAAATAATTAAAAAATATTAAATATGTTAAATTTTAACAATCAAAACAATAAATTGTTTTTTTTTTTTTGTTTCCAGAAAAGAATGTATTCAATAGCTATTAAATGCATTAAGTGACGATACAAAATTTTAAACGTAAACGGTTTTTATACAGACAGATATATACTTCATTACATGTCGTGTGTGCCACTGGTGTAGGTGGGATGTATAGGGAAGGTTCCGTACACGTCTATGTTTTAAAACGTGTATACAATTGATTATTTTAAATTTGATTGTTCCGCTTCATTTTTAAGTATATACGATGAACAGGATCGACAGGTACTTTTTTTTCAAATATGTATTCTCTTGTATTACCTATTTGGTAATAACACTATAAATTAACTTTGCTTCGTACGTTATCTAGCTTTATGTATATGATAATATTTTATTTTACTTTTTACGTCTTTCTATAATATGGTGTATTAAAATTCTTTCAGGTAATTCATCGGTTAGTTGTATTCGATGTAGTCGTACGTACAAACACAAGTCCGGATTGTATGCGCATTTAAAATATGAGTGTGGTGTCGCTCCGAAGTTTCGGTGTTACGTTTGTAATCGAATGTTCAAACATAAATCACACTTGAAATCTCATGTAATTATGAAACACAGAGTCGTCCTTTGAACATAATAATATATAAAAGTGAAACTTGTATTATCACTTAGTTTATTAACTTGATATAATATTGTTTTAATGTGTCTTGTAAGTATCTAACGCATGTTTGTGTTTTCAAGAACACCAATTATTTCTGGCGGACGATCTTAGATTTAAATTCCGTTTTCGATATCTTATCGTTAATGGGGATAGGGTGTTGAAATACATATTTTAGGATACATTTCAAATTTTTAACACTTGGTGTCAACGTGCTTAGAATAAAATAAATTACTTTTTTATACAGCAATACCTATTTTTAATACGATTCGAATAGCCCAATTTTTTTCTAAACGACTTTGATAAATACATTTTTATCTTAAAATTTATCTCAGATGCAACATTTTAAAGTTGTTTAAAATATATGACTTATCGATTTTTAAAAAATTTAAAACTCATGTTATTATGTATATATTATTTTATGATAATCTTAATAAAACATTTTTTTTCATAAAATAATAGTTATATTTCTTTAAGTCATGCTTTTTAAAATAAAAATGCGTTAAAAGTTTTGAATTTGTCCTAAAATATATATTAGAATATCTTATATCACTTGTCAAAAAAAGAATTTAAATCCAAGGTTATGCAATCGTAATATTTAGTATTATTTGGAAACGCGATACACTGTATAATTCCAAAATAAAGAACATCTATTGTAATAATAATAATAATAATAATAATGTATTCAATAGTTCAAAAAAATTATTATAATTGTTGTTAATAAATTTTATAGTTAAACGACTATTTTAATATACGTGTTTTTATTAAATTTACCTAAAATACAAATACCTAAAAACCAAAAATACATTTCTCACTCGGCTCAGAGTTTAAAATAATACAATTTATATTGTGTGTAATATCAATAATTATTTTATTTATAACAAGATGATGTAAACAGTTAATTCGATTTTCAAAATCACTAGCGTGGAGTTGCTATCACAAACGACACAAACCGTGATAAAATTGAATACCGTTAAGTTAAATCGGCAATTAATAATTGTGTTTGTTTATTTTTACAAGTCAAAAGTGTTAAAATAATGTGGGAATTAATTAGTGTTTGTAATGTTCATATAAAAAGTCAGTCTCGTAAAAATACTTTTCAAATTGTATTCAATTACAGATATTAATACATCAATTCAGAAATTATATCAAATATATAATTTCAACAAAGTATTTAAAAACAAATAGAAATACTCGGCATGTATAATCAAAACTCTCGAATACTTTTTAATTTGATTTAATAGTTAATTCAAGCCAGTTTGCGAAATTAATACAATTCAATATTTAACTGTTTAAGTTATTAAGTATCTATTATTATAACTTTTTACCACCTACTCCATTTTATACTAAAAAATGAAAATAAATAAAATGTGCTGTATATTAATTCTGAAATAATTTAATATTTTTAATGAATTAAACAAATGATATTATGAAATAGGAATTATAAATGTATTGCGCCATAATCATTTCCAAAATGTTGTATTGTACCTATAAGCACTATAGTTAAAGTATTTAAAGCACCATTTAAAGTATATGAAAATGTTTGCTGTAATAGTATGCCCATGGTATTTTAATTTAAATTTAATATTCGTTACTACATTGTCGATTTGTGTTTGTCCAACTTTGTTTTTCCTCGGTTTATAAGGATGACAACATCACAAAATCCGAAGCAAGGAGTTTGAATTATAATGAATTATATTATTACTTTAAATATTAAATGACATGGAATTTTCAATTGTTGAGTTAAAATATAGATTTCCATGAAAGTATTTGAAATTCAAATACAAACACGTAAGACAGTATTCAAATATATTGACTTAAATACTTTTACTCAAATACTTAACAAGACTAAAAAGAGTAAGTGCGTGAACGTTCATAATTTTTTAAAAAAATTATTTTATGTTCATATTTGTTAAAAAAATTAACGCGTTTAGTTTAATTCAGAGGTTGGTGACCTTGGTAAAAATTAGTAAGTTTAAATATTTGATACTATAAATAAAAGCAGCGAAATTATAACCATATAGTAAAAATAAACTGTTCATATTTATAATAATATAAACGGTTCTTATCAGTTCCTGCCTACCTGGAATAAATGACACAGTTACCTTACTTATTAAAGATGGCTAATTGTTTTAAAATATATACTTCGGTTTTAACGATTTAATGTGGACCATGATTAAAGATACCTTTATTCGTGATGTTGACATAATTTTATAATATGTTATATTTAAACATTTTCTTAAATTGATAGTAGTTGTCAGTCACGGCTATAGTAGCCCCATTGATTAAGTATGCCTAACAACTGTTACTGCTAAAAATCACTGTTAGCCAGTGTGCAAGCTTGGTAAGCCTGGGCCTACCCGATTTTCTCCGAAATTAACATACTTTGAATCCAGTCATTTTATTAGTTGTTTTTCTCATACAAATAATTTGTATTATTTTATCTAACCTATACCTAGAAAAATATTTCTTGCCAAGATAGTTTAATTTACCTTGTTTCTACGCCTCTGTTAGCCATCTATATTCTTTAGTAAGGTAACTGTGTCGTTTATTCCAAGTGGGCAGAACTGATAAGAACTGTTTATTTCTTTTAGTGATAAAAATCGTTTTTTTTTTTTTACTGTCTGGTAAATTATAATAGACAGAAAAACAAATTATAAAACAGCAGGGTGGGACATAGTGACGTGTGTATACCTACAGAGTATACTGATACTAATAAGAAGCATTTATATAGGAACTTTTTTTTTTTAAATACTAGTTAAATCATTTAGATGAAAAACATACACACATTAGTGCAATTATTTTATTAAACTTGGTCTATGGTAAAAATGGTAAAATCAGCGAAATATATACAATCTATTTCGATAAATAGTATATTTTCTTTACGAATTACAAGTAATGTCGTAGTATTACTAAATCGTGAATTGCAATATAATATGTATTATTTTCAGAAGATATGAATCATTGATTACTTCATTATCATTTACGTATACATATATTTTTTTATCAAATTAACGTTAAATGAACGAAAAAAAGTCATTCACGATCATCTAATAATAATTGAACGCGTTCATGGGTCGTTCACGAAATATTGAATACGTTTTTTCTAAACACTGGTTATAATTTTTCGGAGTTGCTTTTAGATTTAGAAAATACAATATGTATGATTGTTTTTATAATATTAGTTTTATTTAGCTAATGTACTCTGTATTTAAAATAGTCAACTTATTAAGATTATTTTTTTTTGTTAATTACTAATTGAAACTAATTGATCATTTTAAAATGTTCTTTTAAAAATTCTTTTAGTAGGAAGTCGAATAAATATTTAAGGAATATAAGTTAAGACGCTTCAAATACTCCACGGATTTTGATTTATGAAACCAAAATTATATATTTATCTAATCTTAATGTATTAATGGATATAGATTCTGATAACAAAATTAGTTCAGGAGGAATATTAATATAGATACTAACCCATTCAAATAATAATTGTTTTACAATGAACATTAAAAACTATTGTGGATTATCGAGTTAAAAAAAACAAATGTAAAAAAAAAGTAATTAGATTATTATTTATTTTTTGAAAGATAATAATAAGCTATCGTTGGGAGGGAGGGTCAATAAGTTAACTCTCGTGCATATATCTCTGACAAGATATTCGTATTGAGATTAAGTTACTTACATTCTTATTGTTTAACTAAAATTTTACGGATTATATATTGTATGTGATCAATATTTAAATGTTTGATTGGCGGAAATAGTTTGACTTGAACTGAAGCAAACATTCCTCAAATCTTTTGAAATAATTAACTTTCGAGTATCAAGAATTTATTTTCTTTTGTTTTCTCAGTTGTTATTTCTAGATCCATACAATATTGAAATTACATGCATACATGTTAGTTTTTATTTTATTTTGAAATGAAAAAAAAAACCTTTCTCTTGCTACTTGTAATATTTGATAAATCAATGCATGTATAGGTAATATTAATTTTGATAACATTCAAACTAATAGTTTTTTGTTGAAAAAATATTATTATAATTAAAATATAAAAATAAAATGTATTATTGGTGCTTATCATAGGTTTTTATGTATTTATTTAACCGTATTGTTATTTATATTATACTTATATATTTTTAATGTCAGCATGTGCTTGTTTTTCTCGCTAAATATATATATATATATATATTATATAATATAATAATAAATATATATATTTCTGTACATATAAAACAAAAAACCTTAAATATTTACAAGTGATAATAACACTCACACACATATGTACACGTACACACGAACACACGTACACACGCACGCACACTACACAGACAC